ATTTAATTAGGTATTTTATTTAACTAGGATTTTAGTTAGTTTTCATTTAATTAATTAAGTCAGCACTAACAACATCTTTATTGATTAACGGTGAATCATTTCCATTAATTAACCAGCAATTATCACTAATCAGTCAATAAAGTCCAGCTGACACGTGGCATGTTTCTATAAATACAGGCATTATTCATTGTCCCCCTCCTTGGGGACTGAAAACCCTAGCCGCTACAGAACCCTAACTCGAACCCTAGAGAACAACACCAGTCGCCCTCACCTTCCACCTTCATTGCAATTTCTCCAGAAACGCAGAACAAGCATTCAAATCTTCATACGATATTCATCCTATCTTCATATCATTTTTCCAGCAAACTCATCATTTTCCAGATTCTTCATAATGTTCATCAACCTTCATGAACATTCATATGAATCTTCATCATAAATTTTTTCATATTTTACCAGAAACAATCAAACCTTCATTGAACCCTCATCCATATTCATCAAAACTTCATGCGCATTCATCAATTTTCCCAGATTTCTTCATCACAGCTTCATCATTTTTTTTCCAGAATTTCATCAATGTTCAAACAATCTTCAAACCTTCATCCGTAAATTTCCAGATCTTCATCTGCGGTTATACCAACTTCACGAGTTCTTCCCAGAAATTCACAAATCATCATCTCAGCTCGCGATTCACCGTAACCCCAACCTCACAATCACACACTTACATCTTCAAACAAATCTCCAAATCTCCAAATCCAAAACCAAATTTGGCTTCAAACTTCTCCACATCATCAAACCTCATCCGTTTTTCCAGATTTTTCTTCAAACACATTCAACCTCTGTACAACATTTTCCATATTCTTTCTTCGAATCTTCATCCACCATAACGTTTTTCCATATTTTTCCAACTGCACGAAGCTTCATCATCTTTAAACGCAATGGATCTACAACAACACTTCCTAGATCTTGATTTCTTCAACTCTTTATCAGTGTTTTCCAGATTTCATCACCGATCTCTCTCTCTCAAACCAGATCTGAGACTTCAATCCACCATGAACGAATCATCATCCTCCTTACGACCTTCCAGATCTTCATCATGATCTCACACCAAATAACATCAAATCTTCGTAAGACACCATTAAAGAATTCCCAAACTTGTTTTCGTCCTCCATCATTCTCCGGTCCAGCAATCATCACAAATCCATTAACAACATCAATCATCCTCTTCAAAGCCGTCAACATGCAATGGAGGCGGAAAGATTTGAGGCAGAGAGAGTGGAGATGAAGGATAAGTGAATAGGAAGAGGTGTGTTCGGTAGGTTTAATGTTGAAAGTGAAGATGAGACGGTGAGGGAAGAGGTGGAGATGATGAAAGGTTTGAGGCGGAGAGAGGTTGAGACGAAGAGGGGAGAAGTTTCGGTCGGCGGCAGCAGAGGTTGAAGAAAGTTAGGGTTTTTGTTTGCCAAAATGAAGTGAAGAAGACAATGAGCCTCGTGGACTCCCTAGCTGGTTAGTGGGCCGTAAGGCCCAATCATTTATTTCAGTTTGCACCCCCGTTTCCCTCATTACACCCCTGCTGTTTATTTCTGTTTGTGATATTGGGCCAAGCCCAACCGTGTACCCCTGGCTGCTGTTACACCCCCCTTGTTTTCTTTAACACCCCCCCCCCCCCCCCCCCACACACACACACACACTTTTTTATTTTTTATTTTTTTCAAAATATTTGTTTTGTTTTATTTTATTATATTATGTATATATTATTTTTAGTTTTTATATGAAACAGTTTGTAAAGTATACGTTATATAATTTAAGTTTTGTTAGATTTTTATATTATATATGTATATATTATATATTATTTTATATTCAATTTCTTTTTCTAATTTTATTTTCTTTTAGAACTTTATATATTAGAAACTCTTATGTAGTCTATTTTAGAATTTTATAAATAAAAAAAACATTTTCTTCCTATTTTATATTAGAGTTTAGAATATTCTTATTTTCTTTTGAAGTTAAATTTTATTTCTCATTTGTTATTGGGCATTTTTGTCCCATTTTCTGTCTAGGTCGATGACGAGACCTCTATTGTTTTTCTGTCAAATTATTGATGAGAAATGATGGATCTGACACCGACTTTCTCTCCTCTTTCTCATTTTCGACTTTATGTTATTTCATCTGTTTTGGTCGATGACGACATTTCCGTAATTCATTATCAGTCAAATTATTGATGAATAATGTAGGATCCGAGACCACTTCTTTCTCTCCTCATTTCTCTCCATCTTTCGATTTTATTTTGACTTTTGGTGATCGATGAAGTCTTGTAAGACGAGATCCCACTGTTTTTGGTCTGTGCGACACAATTCAATTGGAGAACGATCCTCAATATTGTTTCTCTATCTTGTCCATAGCATGGAAATCAATACGCGACCTCTTAAAATTTGACTTCCCTTATAAGTCGAGCTATGACGGTTTAGCGTCACATTGGTCCCAATCCTAAGAATCATCAAGGATCAAAAGAGGAGAAGATTGGAATGGAGCTTGCACACAATGTCAAGGGTCAACGAAACCACTCCGTTCAGTAACATCTTTCTAATTCAAGTCTTTTAATCAACCGCCGAGCGTTGTGAGTTCTAAGTAATAGATATGTGGGAAATGATGAGTGGGGGCCTCCTCTCATTCGTCTAGAGTGTTTAGTGTATACCCTTAGGGAAATATGCGACGCATTCGCTCCTACGCCTTAGGTTCTAGCGTGTGTGTCCCGAGTTTCTTCCCGTTTAGGCGTGTCTTGCCTACTTCCTCTTTTCTCTCGCCCTCGTGCGATCGAAACTCTTTTCTCTCGCCTCCTGGAGATTGAGATCCTCTCTCTTGCCCCCATGCAATCGAGATCCCCTTTTCTCTCGCCTCCGTGCGATCGAGACCGTTTTCCGTAGTTAGCCGAACTACGGCTACTCTGATCTCTCATATCTGTTGAGAGTACGTAGGCATAGGATTGCGACAATCCTAGCGAGCACTTTTCCCTCTTCCCTTTAGGTAACCCGTACCTTTGAACCAATGACATACTACGTCCGTTCTACCGCAAACAGGTAACGCCTAAGTCTCCAATCGTCGAGCAGCAATACACCTAACTGCTAGAATGAGTGCGTTAGTACCGTCTACCTTTTCTCTCACCCTTGTGCGATCGAGAACACCCCGTTTACCCGTAGTTAGCCTGAACTACGTTTTGCTCTGATTTCTCATGCCAGATGAGAATACGTTGGCACAAGACACGACGTCTTGGCGAGCAATCCCCCCCCCCCCCCCCCCCCCCCCCCGTAGTTTCACGAACTACGTTGACTCTGACTTTCCCATTGCACGAGGGAATACGTAAGCATAGAGCGACGATGCTCTATCTAGTCAGTTCTCTCCGTTTTACCTTTAGTAGCCGTAGATAGTTTGTTTTTCACCCATAGACTAGACAACAAGCGTGGATCCTGTCGAGTACGACGGACGTAAGGGGTGTTAATACCTTCCCCTTGCGTAACCGACTCCCGAACCCGAGATATGGTTGCGATGACCTGTCTTATTCTCTTTTCGTTAGGTTTTCTTCGATCGTTTCCTTTCCCTCTCTTTGGGATAAATAATGAACGGTGGCGACTCTTCTGTCCTCCGTTGGCCCTCTTCGCAGCGATGCGACACATATTCGTAAACACTATTTTTTAGAAAAAAATTAGGGTTTAAGCGGAGATGTTTCTCCAAAAAGTGACATGATGACATGGTAAGGTTTCTAAGGTCCAAAGTGACTTAATACATGTATAAATATAGTGTCTTTCGATCCATATTTTCTACAAAACACACAACCAAAGAATGAATGCATATCTCCACATTGCATTTTTGTATTTCAATGGCAGAAAGTCGTCGTTTCAATTTACGGCCACCAATGACACACCTCTCATCGATCTAATATCTAAATTGAATACTCTTATGTGATATCCAAAAAATCGAAGAATTGTCAAGCTTGAGTATCGTTCACTATCTCTTAACAGAAAATAGAAGATATAATTCATCAATTTAGAACTGGAGACAAATGAAGATTTACAGGTCATGTGGAGTACATTTTACCATTACGCATCAAATGGTCCTATTGAAGTGGATGTGAAAATCAAAAGATATGTCGACGATATTATCAATACGTTGCAACGTCCTGAACTACTCGTTTATAACGATATGTAATGTTAAATTTATATTAACAATTATCTTAATTTAATGTCAATTTAATGTCAAGTTAGTTTTGTTTCTAAATTTGCTTATACAGTCTAGGTTTATGGTTTAAAGTATCAAGACTATTTTCGAATATACATCTCCAAAATATATTTTAAAAAAAATTTAAAGATGCAACTCTAAACAAAATTTAAGTATAATTGTAGTGTTTCATTCGTTAGCGTTCAATTCTGTAAAAAAATAAATGCGTCCAAAAATACATCTCCAAAAATATAATATTTTTTACTTTTTACCAAAGTTTGAAAGAATCTATAAGAATGAAAAAATTGTCTAAATCTATGACACGCTATAATAAAACATTTTTTACTTTTTATCAAAGGTTTGAAAGAATTTATAAGAATGAAAAAGAAATTGCCTAAACTATGACACGCTACAATTCAGTCTTAGACTTATCATATTCTCAGCCCTACACTACCATAGAGGAAATATTAGTATACCTGCACTAGAGGAAGTATTATTATTATACATGAGTAAACATGTATAATAGCAGTGACAAATATAAATTTGATTGAAGTATACTTTTCCCATTCTTTATTCTATGAAGATAAATGTGCAAGAATCAATTTCAAACAAAAAATACTATGAAGATAAATTAAACAAAATTACATTCTTTTGGCAAGAAAGAACCATCTTTGACAACCCTTTTGAAAAAGAAAGCAAAACATATATTACTATACAAGTACAAGTAAGAAAAAAGTAGAAAAATTCCAGCTCAAACAAGGGACAAAAAAATAAATAAATAAAATTGTTTAAGACAGATTGTTTTGACTTTCATTTGAATGACTGTATACCTCATCTCTTTTTTCTTTGTTCCTAACAATGGATGCGATGCATCTTTCATCAGACAAGTATCTCTTATCTTCACCATTAGATTTAGTGACTACCAAAGAAGAATGCTGATCTTCCTTCACTTCAGTATTAATGGTTTTTACACCGCCATTCTGGTTCATATTCATATCTTGCCATAGTCGACGACTAAGTTTCGCGACATTATCTACTTGTGAGTCGTCGCGATTGGGATCACAATTTAGATCTATCTGTCCAGCACTGGACTCGCCAACTTCGGCTTGACCTCTATTTATCCCTTCCTGTTTTTCCAAAGGATTTACGTTATCTCTTGATGCTCCTTCGGTATCAGGCTTGTGAATATGGTCTTTCTTGGCATCAGCATCTGCTTCACGATCAGATTGGCGTTTCTTCTTGCGTAGCATAAGGGTTTTGAACCGACGCTTCACGGTCGTGCACACGTTGCAAGTACATGTTGGCTTGTGTCTCCCTTTCCCGCTTGGGGGCTGAATGCACACAATACAAGAGCAGCCGGGTCGGTGTCTAGGATGTTTAGTTGTGGCTCCAGCTGAGGAATCAGTAGGGTCGATGAAATTTTCTCCTAAAACTGCTAAACTTGCAAGCGCGTCTAAGCCAGAAGGCTCGTGTTCTTGGATCGACTTGCTGTTTTCTACAATCCGTCGCTTCTTAAAATCTGTGAAACACAAACATTAACTTCAACCTTGTCTCAAATATGACAGATGAAGATCTTATAAAAACACAAACAGAAGGATCATACCTTTGCTGGATTTCAAAAGATTTTCTAATTCCCTTGAACTCAGCTCTTCTAGAGCAGAACATGAAGATCTGAAAAAACAATGTTCACACAAAAATTGTAAAATATTTTATCACTATCTCATATGAAAACTAGTTTAAATTCCAAAAAAAGTACTAGTAATTGATGATAATAATGGAGCACCTGGTTGTATCCCAAACATTTTCAGAACATGTCCATTTGGGAGGAAGAAGAGCATCGACCGGCAACTTTCTCCATTTTGAGCAATCATCACATTGAGCCCATTGTTCCTTCGCCCTGGATGAAATAGTTACCATACTCAGACCACAAGTTTAAAATTTTCTCACCACATCATTATACAATTTCAAATACTTTCATGATGCATAACTATGATCAAAAGGATGTTTGGAAGAGCTTATTGAACTTATCATACAGCATAATCAGAGTTTTTAACTTTTTTATAAAAACTTATGAAAATAGCCTATCCATAAACTGTTTTCGGATTAGAAAGTTCTCTATAATTATTCATATTCAGAGCTTATACAGAGTCCCCGTTTTCTCTTTAATTGTAGAAACAATTCATACATAAGCACTTATACAATAAATGTTAATTGATATTTGAATGACTACAAACACAGATCCATGAATATATCAAACTAATGTCATATCATCGAAGAAATTTATAGGTAAGACTGACATGTTTGTATAAACAACTCAATTAGGCACTTATCATATAAGTGCTTACGCTATAAAGCACGGACACCAGAAACACGACACCGACACTAACACGTTGACATTGGTGATAATTTTTTAAAAATAAATAAATAAAACATAATCACAAGTGTCGGTGTTGGTGTCCAACACTGACAGACATGGATACACCTCTTTTTAGAGGTGTCAGTGCTTTGCTACAGAGCGTATAAGCTATTTCTATGAAAAGAACATAAAACAAAGTCAAACTATTTTCATGTAAGCTATAGGTTGCTTTCATAAGCTATCGTATAGAGCTTATGGAATTTCGCTGAAAACAACTTATGAATTTTCCATAAGCTACTACTTCCATAATCTCTCGCAAATAAAGTATTATACCGGTAGATACGCTCAAATAAACCAATCCAAATATGAAAAAAGTTTGGACTCTTACCCAGATGAAGAGGCACTGAATATTGTTTTCTTTCCAAAAACCGGAGGTTCCTGAGTTAAATGAAGCACGATTGTCATATAGTTTAGCAAAATAGCAACGATTTGAACATGAAACTCCAAACTATATCGGTCCATATTCACACCACAAAATAGATAATATACAAAATCAAATAAGGATTGATTTGACATTGTAACACTTACATCATATTCTTCAAATACTTGGTCCTCAATTGTGACAATGCTTGGCTTGACACGAGGCGGCGGACGAAGCAAGTCCTGTGCTTCTTCCCATGTAAGTCTCAACTCCATAGCATCTTCATTACCAATGAGCAATCTCTTACTTTTAAGACCAATATTTCGCGTCCTCTTCTTTTCTAAAGCTGAAATTTTTTGGTCCAATGAATTATTGTTTGTCATCTCGCCATTTTCGGGTTTAAGCAAACCACCTGCTCCGGTACCCAAATGAGGAGGTCTTGGATGTCCATTTAAGTGAAGCTCCCCATTCCCTTTTGTTGAATGGAGAAGATCGGCACAATTACTTCCCATTGGAAGATTCTCAGTTCCACCAGAAAAGGTGGCTCCCTTTGCCAAAATGCCATTAGAAACGTCCTATTTAGACAATAACCATTAATCATATTCACAAACCACAAAAAATTACAATATGTGATTTGAAGAAAAGACCATAGACCGTAAAATGGAAAATTTTGTGACCAACCAGTGTATCTAGCGAATTTGATGACTTTCTGAAACCCATAACAAGTTTTCCCCCAGGATCTATCCGACTAAATGTAACTGCAAAAGCCAAAAGATACATCAATAAATAATATTCAACAGATCAATTCTATAAGAGCATGGATTCTTTCATTTCTCATACAATTTGATCTAAATAAGAATTCAAGCGAAAATTTGTAATGGAATAAGTGTGCATGAGTTTAGCTCCATGAACTGGTGCATACCGGTATCACCAGCACGTAAATCCATGGCCTGTATGCAAGGGGTCACACCCTCCAATACATACATCCTGCTGTTGTTATTAGGCCAAAATCTGAACTGAAAAGTCCATTCATTCCCTTTCACATCTTGGACCCGCAAAGGAAGGCCTTCAGAATGTGAAATATGAGGAAAATAAGCCTGAAATTCGTATAAAAATTTGTAAGATGTCCAAATTAGAGGGTGAAGATATGTCTCAAACAGATAAAAAGTAAAACAGAAAACAAGGAACCGAAGAAAATAAAAATATAAACAAACCTCAGCACAGGCTTTTGGGAGAACAAGACGACCAATTCTACCTGCATCGCTAGCACTCAACACCTTCTCAAACAAAGGCACTACAGTGGACTTCAAACTGTTATCATTACATCAAGGGAAATTTTTTGATAAATCAATGTTTTTATTGCGATCCATGTTTAAAAAAATTACTACGTAGATACTCTAGGATCGATGTTATTTCAAAAAATTATATATAGGAACTACTATAAAGGATACTCTCCAGACAAACGCTCGAGCTCCTGATCCGTAATCCTTGGCCAATATCTCGGAAGTAACTGATTCTTGCCCCTTCCATCAGCAGGAGGCCGGGCAATGCGTGGTTGATTAACCATCCCTTTTTCAGTTTCTACTTTCATGGTAAGGCCAGTCTTCAATAGTTTGGGCAATATAGGGCGAGTTCTCGGCCCTTGATGAAAGGGAGGAGATACTTTCCCCTCGAGTCTTCCTTCTATATTCTCTCCAACCGAAGGTGTGAACGAGTTGCTCCCTGAAGGGTTTCCCAAACACATATTCAAAGACGGCTTAACATTTGATTCATGCGTGTTTTTAATCTCCCATGTCGGTCTATTACTTTCAAATGTAGCAAAAGTTAATGACTGAGCAGACGGTTTAATCATGTTCGAAAATCCAGTATCCCCTCCTTCCTTGAATGAAGGCTTAACTTCTTGATTGTTTTTTCCATTACATGTAATCGCGCTGTCTCTCGGAGGAGCATGATTCACATGGATGGTTTCGCTAGCTTCAACAACTCTGCATAATTGCATAAGTTTTCCTTCATCAACATTGCTCACAAACACTCTGCCATCAAAATGAGCAGAATGCATATCCCTTGCGTTATTTTGGGTCATCGAAACGGGCCAGTTAGGATTTTCAGTATTCCTCATCTGCAGAAAAGTATAATATAGAAGAAACCTATCAAGTCGTGTCATAGAATCAAACAACAGAAAATCGAGATTAAACTAACCATATTATGTTGGGAAGTATTTACACAGCTAACACAACCTATACCACCGAAGTCAAGATACTCGAACAAAGATCTAGATACTATGCATCCACAATGGATAGGCTGCAAAACCAAGTCAAACATACTTCAAAGACTCAAAAGAGAAAGAGAAGTTCTAAATAGAATATTCTTGTCGGAAAAATAAACATCACCTTACCTTGTTGCAAAAGTTACACTCTCGCCAACCAGTTTGATGACGGTGGAATTTATTACAGAAAACAGAATTCTCATAGGCAGATCTAGAGCACACAAAGCGAAAGGAAGAACTAATAAATGAATTATTATTGATCAAATCAAAACACATAGTAAGATTTGCTATAAATACTTATACAATAAAGCATTTAATACAAAATTAACATTATTTCAAAAAGGAAATACATTTTCCATATTGGTATCTAAAATTACCATATAGATAGATACACTTACAATGATTCAATGATGTCACACTTCCATTCCTCCACAAATCTAACATAACAGAAAAAATCCAAAAAGTTAGTTTACTAAATATATGATTCAAAGTTTAAAAATGAAACAGAAATCAAAATTTTACTACTAACAAATAAAAACCATTTTATAATTTGGTCATTACAAACATTTCCAAAATTAGTTACATTGATCTCATCATCAAATCAAACAACAATAATTCAGGTATTTCCCATTTCTACCCCTACTTCTACAATCACAATACACAACAATATTGTCATCGAATTATAGTTCTATGAATCATTCATGCATTTAATGTTTTTTTCAAAAATGTGAGGTGTTTGGTTATAACAGGCGCACAAAAACACAAAAACCAGAAAATCCCGGAAATGATATAGAACCACACATATCCAATTAGATTATCAAAAACCCAAAAAAAGTAAAATCAGTGAAATTGAAAAACAGAATCACACACAAACAAAACCATTACCCCCAAAAATGAAACCACACTCACAGAATCAAATCATCGCAAAATCAGTGAAAAGATGAAATCGAGAGAGAAAAGGAGTGAACTTTATTTACCCGCACTTGATGCAGAGTTGAGTGAATCCACCAGATCGTAGAGGCCACCCTTTCTTCCATTCATGAACACACGAACCATTCACGATACCAATGTCAGAACCCATGAATCAAAATTCAAAATTTCAACTGCCAAATACCCATAAACCAAAGTCAAAATCAAATCAAAATCGCTTTGACCCTTACATCCATGCAAAAAATTCTACATCAAAAACAACAAAGGGGCAACCAAAAAAACAAATCCAAAAAAAATAAAATAAAACATAACCACGACAACCTTTGACTTGAATGAATCACCCCCAACAGAAAACCTAGGAATGGGTCGGTCGCATGAAGTAAAAAAAAACACGAATTTAGTCAAATCTCTGCACCAAAAAAGTATAATCTGTTAGAATAACAAAATGAGATGAAGAAGAAGAAGAAAGTGATGGAAATGAGTGAAAGAGTAATAATGAGAATTGACCTGGGTTTTTAGAGAGAGAAAACGTGAAGTGGGTATGGGAATTGAGGGAGTCTGTGTAGAGAGAGAAAGAGAAAGAGATGAGAGAGAGAGTATATGTGTGAGTGCATGCAAAGCAACAGATGCATAAAATGCATGCACGACAACACTTGAAGACACAAACAAACTCAACATTCAACATATACATACAATTACAAACTCCACCGCTAACCTTAATTAACTCAACGCATACAATGCAACAAATCGTTTAATTTTCTTGAAACTGCTTTTTTTTTTTTTTACATTGAGAAGTGTGATAAGGTTACCAGCGGGTTATTTTGGGTGTGAATGTGACTTGGGCATGGTTCTAGTTGTCTTGTTATTGATTCATTGGGATTATTAGGTGAAACATGTGTTTGTGCTTGGATTGCACATGTTGTATGTAGGTGAGGTGGCATTTTAGAACTAGAAAAAGGGTTTGAAAATTATTGTTGATGTGGGTATTTATATTATTTTTGGGTTGTTTGGTTTAAGGGGTTATTAATGATGGGTAATGGAGGATAAGGGTTTTAGATGTGAAATCTATGTCATAGTTAATGTTATGTCTATTCTTCTCATATTGTTCTTACAATAGCTTTATGTCTTTCTCTATGTAATACTAGTATATCTTAGACTATTTCTATCATTGTTATAATCTTTAAAAGTCATTGAGTAATCAACTCATCTGATTTATATTTATATTTAAAACTAAATATATTAATTATTTAATAATATTTTAAATAAATATTTATTTACAATAGTTATTGATTCTAAATATTATAAATATAAGAGTGTTTATTTAGTTTTAGGAATAAATTTGAAAATAAATTTATTATAACTAAGCGTTAATTTTACGTGCCTCTAATGTTTGAGAAATTTGCCCTCCAAATCTCGCATGAGAAATTTATCTTTAAATTTTTGTTTAAGGACTCTCTTCTCTAATTCTCACATAAGATGGGATTATCGTTTACCTAGCTTAAATAATTATGCACTTCTCAAACCTTATGCTTGAAGGATTATGGATTAGAATAAATTTGATTGGGCTTTCGAAGAGATCAGATCATGTCATATTTGGCATCATAATGGTATAAGGGAGCATAAGGAAAGTTAAGGTGACCTCATGTGTCTAGCACGTGAGTGCGCTCAGCCCATACCATTTTGTTTGGAATGTGGGCCACCGACTAAATATTGTATGGGTCCACATTGTTGTCATTTACACTTAGACAATAATAGTTGGCGCCTCTGATTCCTTGAAATGCAAACTTTTGTCTAATAATTTCAAATAGACGGCTCTGAAGTGGTACATGAACCTCTCTCGTCTTTTAGTGACCACTATCAAGACCTCTCGAGGAAACTAATCCATCAATTTTCAGCGAGTAAACACCCAAAAAAAATTACAACTAACATATTTAATGTCTATCAAGGGCACTCAGAGTCCCTGGGAGAATATCTTGTGTGATTTAATGAGGCGACTATAAAGGTGGTACATCCAAACCAAGAAATATTCGTATGAGCAAAATTGTTTAAAGGTCGGACACTTCAACGAGTCTCTCACCTAAAAATCCATCATTTTCATGGCTAAAATTATGGTGTGGGTTGAGTGTTATATCAAAGGAGAAGAGGTTCATGCGGAAAAGAAACCAAGGATGTCAAAGAGCATGCCACTGGTGGGTTTGATTCTTCGCAAGAACAACGCTGAAGCTAATGTACTTCACCTGTTATGGGCATTACGACTTTCAAACTCAATGGGAGGGTTCGCGGATAACTTTATACATCTCAACATTCGTCGAGGGCAAATATGGCATGAAGCTCTCTACAATCACAACATCCCACATACTCTGACTCCAACGTCAAAGGTCATGGGGCCCGAACCCAATATGTGGTGCAAATACCACAAGGTTAACAACTATCACACTGATAACTGCTACCAACTCAAAAGAGATATTGAGCATGTTGTTTAAGAAGGCCACTTAAAGAAGTATGTCAGAGGAAAACCTTAACAAGGAGGGGGTGAGTTATGGGCTAAAGGTAGATACTAGCCAAGAATCCCTCGATCTAGAAGATACAAAGATCCAGAAGGATAAGGGGTGACAGGCTAGTTTATCAAACACTTAGTACCATCGCAGGAGGTTTTGTTGGAGACGGGGAATCCAGCTCCTACTGAAGAAGATATGCATTGGGTTCCTCCCATATGTAAACGATCATATAGTGATAAAGGTACAATTGTCAAACTAAGAAATCAAATAAGTTTTAAATGATCAAGGAAGCTCGCCTGGTATCTTGTACTAGGTCGCCTTTGAGGGACTAAAATTGGATCCAGACAACCCGCAGTCATTTAGGGGCTCCTTGGTTGACTTTTGTGGATAATAAGTCTAAGTGGAGGGTTATATTGTGGAACTATGTGCTTGCATGTTTAATTAGGAAGTGATGGATGTGATCAAAGTTCCTAGACAAGCAAGATATGTCTAGCCCTGATAACATCATGGTTTTGATGATGACAACACCTAAAGTAGTTAAAATATTTTTATAACAACATTTGAAATTGTAACACTCCTGTAGAGATCTTGATGATAAAGCATAAAAACAAGCAAACTAGTTCAAGCGGTGAAAAATGCACAAGATATTTAATCAAGCCTCCTCTAAATAAAGTTGAAGATTTAGGGTTTGATAATCACTAGTGATACTCTCTAATATTGATGGCACTTGACGTGAAGATATCTCAAGCCTTATCTCCAAGAAGATTCAAGTGATGTCTTTATGTGATTGGTATATATGGCAAAAGGACTTGAAGATTTAGAGTGTGAAATAGAGGAAATGTGAAAGCTTGTCTGATCTTGTTTGAGTGATTAGTGATTTGTAAAAGGACAGTGGTGTTTTCGTAAAGTAATATGGATAAATCACACACTCACTAAAATTGTTTTTGAAGCCTTATCTTTTTCAAATAAAATCACCAAAAAAAATATTATGAAACATAGCTAGATGAATTAGAAATTGTAAGATTGATTAGGGAAAGTTTTTAAACTACCTATTCGATTATATTAAGTCACTGGTCGATTAGATAAGGGCAAAATGAGACTATAATCGATTATGATGGTGCCTTAATTATGGGTAACAACTTACTACGCAACATTTTGCTCTGTTTTATCATTGTTTTAGTAGTAGGTATTTTGATTTTGTTTGCATACCAAATTGAGATTATTCAATAGGATTTATCTGTGTTATTATGATTTATATGATTAAGAATGTTCCATATGTCATTTGATCTTTTGGAAAGGATTTACTTGTGGTGCAGGTCTCAAAAACATGAGAAAAGTAAAATGACCATGTTCCCTGCTCATATGTGTATTTATACGTGTTCAGATACCCATTAAACACCAAAAATTAACACATCTGGCCATAAGTGTACTAATGCGCATATCATTGGCCCAACAAGTTCCAATACGCAACTCCATATGTGTATGTGAATCACCAAGCAAAAATTCCTCTATTCATATGCATACTCATATGTGTATGGGGTGTAGCAATAGTCTAACATGCATATTCGTACGCATATGAAGATTTTGAAGACGGAAATTTCCTTTATCCATACGGGTCCTCATAAGTGTATCACACATGTTGGACGCCCTAATTTACCTTAAAAAAATCCCATTGGAGTATTTAAGGAAGGAGAGTGATATTTTGAAGTTTTTATCTTGATTTTTGAAGGCAGAAGTGATTAGGAGCAAGGAAAACATGATAGGAACAACGGGAAGTGCCAAAATCCAATGGATTCCTCAATTGAAGCTTCTTTTTTTGTGATCATTGTGTAATGCTTATGAATTTTATTATATATTTTGTTTACATTATACGTAGCTAAACCCTCTAATTCTAGGGATGTGTCACTATTCTTTATGGAATTTGAGTTTCATAATTGACATTTGTAAAAACTGAGGTTTTGTTCCTATATGATTTATTTCTTTTTCGTGCTTAATGCTTTTCTTTTTCTGACAAGTTGGGAATTAATTTATGATTACCTATTAGGAAAGACTTTCAACAGTAACACTTTATTAAAATATTATAGATTAGTTATCACCTAGGCATAGGGATATCAACTAGAAAATGTATTATTCTTAATAACAAAATATTTTGAGTCATTTACAATGTACTATAGACATATGGATTGGTTTGAATACCAAAGTTTTATTCACTAAGAACTTAGGAATAAATAAACTTAAAATCCAATAATATGTAGGAATAAAGCAAGTTGTTGCAAGGTCAATGTAGGATATCAAACGAGTTCAAGTTCAGCTCTCATTCCTAGCAGGCTCTTCTCTTATTATTTTCTTCTCTATTAAATTTGTCTTAGTTTTATCTTTTGAAAACAAACAAACTAAAAACCCTTGAATACATTTTTATTCAACTAAGTTCAAAACTGAACTCTAAAATATAACATACTTCTCAAGTGTAACACCCAACTCTACCCCGTAAGCGTATTATAAAACATATACGGAAATATCACATAAAAGTACATCAGAGTTCTCAAACAAGCAGGATGTCACACTAAGTCACTTCATAAATAAACCAAGATTATCTAGCTTTCAATTAAAAAAACGGAATAAATTCAGTTCCTTAAACATAATTTCCACCACG